TTATTTGTTTACTTTTACTGGGAGATGGTGACACATGCCTGTAATCCCAGCACTTGGGAGGCAGAAGCAGGTGGATCTCTGAGTTCAAGGCCAGCCTGTCTACAGAGCAAGTTCCAGGACAGCCAGTGCTACAAAGAGCACTGGAAAACCAAAAGTAAATACATAAATAAATTATAACTTACTATAAATAATTATATTACATATTACAATTATCTATTATATTTATACTATAATATATATTATATGTTATAGGTTAATATATAATAGAATATAATTAGTATAAGTATAATACAACACAATGCAATATAACATAAAATATAATATATTAAATTATGATATATAAATTTACAATTTACAAATTATAAATGAAATATTTATTTATTTACTTATTTTGGTTCAGGAATACCTTTATGTAGCCTTGAATAGCCTGGAAATAACTATGTAGACCAGGCTGGCCTTCAACTCACAGAGTTGCCTCTGCCTCCTGAGACTAATCACATCTACCACTCACAGCATCTGGCTAGAGACAACAAATTTTTCTTGCTTAACATCTCCTCTGGCTTCAGCATGTGGTACTTTGGCTGATTTATTTTCTTTATCAAAGTGCTGAGAATCAAACCCAGGGCCCTGTACTTTTGAGGTAGGCGCTCTTCTGCTGAGCTATATATACCTCAGCTTATATGTGGTAATTGTTAGGGCAGTCTTAGCAACTTATTCAATGACCTTTTCAGGTGAAAGTGCTGAGCTTCACACTTCTCCATTCCTTGATGGAAGCGTTGTCCTTCCTCCCTGGGTAGAGAAACACTGTCAACAGTTACCTGCGACCTTCCTTCCTCCTCTCTTTTTAGCTCATCTTATACCAACTCTGATGTTTTGTCTTGAAGGGCCTTGAGCATGGTAGGTAGCTCTACCACTGAGCTACACCCTGGCCTAGTCTCATCTGTTACCTTCTGTGGTGGTTTGAATATGCTTGGTCCAGGGAGTGGCACTATTAGGTGTGGGCTTTGAGACTCTCCTCCTAGCTGCCTAGAAGCCAGTCTTCTGTTTGCCTTCAGAACAAACTGTAGAATGCTCAGATCCTCTAGTGTTATGCCTGTCTGGACACTGCCATGTTTCCTGCCATGATGGTAATGGACTGAACTTCAGAACCAGTAAGCCAGCTCCAATTAAATGTTGTCCTTTATAAGAGTTGCTTTGGTTGCGGTGTCTCTTCACAGAAATAAAACCCAAATTAAGACACTATCTCCGCTAGATCATTGTAACTGCCCCACATCTCCCCCATGCCAGTATTATTCCTGTACCTGTTCAGATGACTGTTCCAGCTGCTTTTCCACACTAGTTCTCAATGAGAGCCTGAAATCAGTCATCTTTTTCACTACAAAGGCCATTCATGTGCCTGCCAAAAGCTAGTGGTGGCCAAGTCTTAAAGCTTCTTGCAAGTTCTGAATATATATGTTTCACAAAGTCTTCATTTCACAGGATGGATGATGGTGGAAGAAAGGCATGATTTCTCTATTGGGTGTTCTGAGCTGGGGAAGAGCACCCCAGAGCTCCAGCGGGTACCTTGGCTACCTTGTAGGGGACAGCATGTGGCAGAACATTAGTAGCCTGAAGGCAGTAGAGCAGATGAGGTGACAGGTTCATGTCCTAAAAATACGTTTGAGATCTGGGCACCACTGGTGGCAGATGTCAGCTCTTCAGCTGGCTTTTCAGTTCCCCAAGCCAATGTATTTCTTGATATGTACATGCTAGTTTGAGTTTCTGTGGATTGCAACCATGAGTGTTGACTGTTGCAGGATGTTTGATGGTACTGTGAACCTTGAGATTATGTTGTTTACTGGAAAAACCTGTTTCTAGTTTTTACTCCTCCACTACTCCTCTAGTAGGAGTGTGGCTCAGCCCTTAGCACACAGCTTTAATCCCTCTGGCTGGAATACAGACACGCCCTTAGTATACACCTTTAAGTCCCAAACAGTGATGATAAAGTTAGTTTGTAGTAGGAAGCACCATGTTTGAAAGTGATGTCAAGTGAGTGGCAGACAAAGTGATGAATCAGAGAAAGATCTGCCAGAATAGGATATGCCCAACTCTCTCGAGAAGAGAGAGGAAAGAGAGGCAGTGTAAGAGGGAGTTGAACAGAGGAAGAGAAGAGGCAGTTTTACTGGGAGAGTGTTAGAGACAGATTGAAGAGAGAACAAGTAGACAAAGGTGAAGACAGAATGACACAGAACAAGAAGGAGCCAGAAAATTAGAACAGATTACTAGAGTTAGTTTGAGGCCAAGGAGCGACTAAGAGGGAAGCCAGATTGAATCAGTTACCACGGAGAGGAGTTTAAGCCAGAACAGCTGAGTTCATCAGCCAGGCAGAGCTCAGAAAGAACTAGAAATGATGCGCTTATTCAGCAGTAAGTCTCAAGAGGCTGAAAACGTTCTAGGCCTAGATTAGATTGTATAGAAGCTAGAAGCCTCCGGAACTAGACCTAGGTTAACAGAAGGAGGCAGTAAGGTCTCAGAGACAATTATATCAGGTGAATAAAAGATATTTTTACATGACAAATTTTTTTCTCCGTGATTCCACCACTGCTCCCTATCCTCTAAAATGTGTGTGTGTGGGGCAGACCTCTTTTTAAACTCTGGAAGGAAAATGACAGAACCCAGTTACTTTGGTCACAGGTGACAAGTAAATCCTGGCTTAGAACAGCTCAAAGTATACCTGTTGCTGGCCCAAACACCTACAAGGTTTGCTGAGTTCTTGTAAAGTTGACCCCAAATTTCAGTTTCTCTTATATCTCCACATGCTGTTTCTGTTTTCCCAATCAGGACACATCATAGCCAAATAGGATTCTGGTCCAAGCAGCATGCTACAATGAAACAAGGTCTCCTCTCAGAACGGAAGGTCTTTATGTTGAGCCCCGGTTTCTGACCCCACTGCCCACTGCTGAGCTAGAGAAAAATTTTAAATGCCAAAATATGTGGAGAGAGGTGGTACATCCCTTTAATGTCAGCATTTGGGAGACAGGCAGACAGATCATTATGAGTTCAAAGACAGGCTGGTCTACAAAGGGAGTTCCAGAACAGCCAGGGATGTTACACAGAGAAACTCTATCTTGAAAAACAAACAGAAGCCAAAATAAAAGGGTCAGAAAGTTCTTTTTAAAGATCATTTATTATGTATAGTGTTCTGCTTGCATGTATGCTTGCATGCCAGAAGAGGGCACCAAATCTCATTACAGATGGTTGTGAGCCACCATGTGGTTGCTGGGGATTGAACTCGGGACCCCTGGAAGAGCAGTCAGTGCTCTTAACCTCTGAGCTACTTCTCTAGCCCCAGAAAGGTTTTTTTTTTTTTTTTTTAAATGCATTTACTAACAAATTCCTTTCCTAGAACAAAACAATGCTTCAGTTTTGCATGGTAAAATGGTTTATTTAAGTGAATTTGAAAAATCTAGAAAATCTGTTCCTAGATGCTTTTGTTCCTGCTTTATTCAGAGGAGCTACTTCTGTGGTTGTTTTACAGGAGAAAAAGGCTGAAGGGCTCTGCTTCCCAGGACCCACATATTGAGTGCTTTCTGCTGCCCCAGGGAGCCTCAGGCCTTTGTGGTGTATGCTTGACCCTTCCTCCCTTACATTAGGACTTTAAGCTAAGGGTCAGTCCAAATTCTCACCATGTGCTCTCCCATTTTCCTGAGCATTAGTCCCTCCTTCTCCAGTGTACTGCTCCTTGAAGCAGGACCCACACTGTATCTATTGGCATGTAGCATCTAAGAACTAGCCAGTAAATGACTGAGTGAAGTATCAAAAACCTTTAGTAGCAAATACTTTACTTTTTGGATTTTTCATGTTAGTTACCACAATATAAAAGATCACCTGCAATTATATACTAGTATTTTATTTTTAAATAGCCTCCATTTTGAAAACTAGAGTTTGGGCTGGAGAGATGGCTCAGAGGTTAAGAGCACTGACTGCTCTTCTAAAGATCCTGAGTTTAATTCCCAGCAACCACATGTTGGCTCACAACCATCTGTTATAGGGTCCGATGCCCTCTTCTGGTGTGTCTGAAGACAACTACAGTGTATTCATAAACATAAAATAAATAAATACTTTTTAAAAAACTAGCTTTTATTTTTGACAATCACACACATTCAAAACCAATGTTCTTTCACAAATTCTATGATGTCTCAGTTTTAGATTTTACATTTAAATTAGCTCTAAAATTAAAAAAAAAAACCTTTGAATTCTCTACTGCAAACATAAAAACATGCCTTTTTTGGATACAGTGTCATATAGCCCAGGCTAGCTTTGAACTTACTATGTAGATAAAGCTACCTAGGCCTCCCAAATATTGAGATTACAAGTGTGTACCATCATGCCCAATTATCATAATACAGTTTTAAAAAGTCATTTCAACTTGACAAATCAAATGATTTAAAAGTTGCTTTAATATTTCTCTTCTATTATTGTAAAAGTAAATGTGAAGGCTGCCAGGGTGAATACAATAGCTCATGTACACTCGAAACATTCCCCTCACATTTCTCTCTCTTGGGGAACAGCATCCAGTTCCCTAGTCCCAGCACCATAGCCATTGGTGCTATGTCCTAAGAAATGCTGGATGAGAAGCCTGGGGTTGGGGGGACTGATACATCTCTGAGCTCCTTTGACTTTCTGTGTGCTCAATGGCTCACTGTAGTAGGCAGAAGGAGGGCATTGGGTACCCCTTCCCCAGTACCTGACAGGCACATTTATGCATATGTGTCTATCAAGTAATTCAAGAATATGTATGCATATTTCTGAATCAACATGCTGTATATATATATAGTTGGTTACATATCAGGAAGGAACTTTTAAGATAAATATAAACTTTACATCTCTTTTGCTGACTTTCTTTTAATAACACATGGGGGAAAAAAACAAACTCTTATTTCAAGATGTAAATTCAAGACTGCTTCCCACTTCTCCAGCCCCTAATAAGCAGCAAGAAGCAGTCTGTACCAATTCCCCACCTACTCCTTGGCATCCCCGATGCCTCCAGCGGTTATTGCGAAGGTGGCTTCATTTTCAGGCATCTCAGGGCTACAGAATACAAGGGAACAGAAGTTTATAAAAAGCTCTGTTTCTATAAATACTGCGCACATGTCACATTCATCACGTTCCCATCAGTCTCAGTCTCCAGAGACACTGCAGTGCTGGTACAGCTAAATGTGGACTACAGAACTTACCTAGCGGTGTTATCAACCCTCGCAAACATTTGTTAAACAACTTCTATATATAAGGTTTTGAATGTCAAGAAAAATTACTCCCAAACTTGGAAACAGGCAAATCGGGATAAACTGGGTGTTGTTGTTCAGGGTAGTTTGAGGCCTGTGGCACAGGTCCTGTGGGGCCTGTCTGACTCCTTGGGGGTGCATCTTTCTTCAGGCTTTGCTAACAAAGGGAAAATTGAAAAGGGCTTTGAAATAAATCAGGGAAGTCCTGAGCTCCTGTGGTGGAAAGCTGGTTGTCTAGCATGCCCTCTAGCTTCTTGGTGCTTGTTCTGTGAGGGCTCTATGCATTCTGTGTTGTCATTAACTGCAAGTAGTGCAGTTCTCTCTGGTTAGAGAAATAGAAATTGTGAAGGTGGAATAAGTACCATTGAGTACTGAACTGTGGAGATTGACTAATTTTTGATCAATTGATTCATTTCTTAATTCCCTTTTGACTAAACATGTGTGATACTTTGAGTTTTCTTTTGATTTAGTTAAAAACCCTTATTAGTTTTCATTAATTGGTGAGATGGCTCAGCAGTAGAGGCACTTATTGATAAGCAAGAGCACTTACTGATAAGGTGATATAGGATCACCTGAGTGATCGATCCCACACTAAATCAATGTGTTAGGGTAAAAGGCAAGTGTGGAGAAAGAAAAGTGGTGCTGAGGAAGGAGGATGAACTATGCGGGCACTGGGTAGTCAGTTGGGAAGCAGGTAATGTTTTGCTCTCCCTGTGTGTAGTGCCGGAAACTGACCTCAAAAGTCTTGAACATAATAGACAAGTGGTCTCTCACCTGGCTATACCCACAGCCCTTTTGTTGTTTTAACTTTTGTTTTGAGACAGGGTCTCTCTATGTAGTCTTGGCTGTCCTGGTAACTCTCTGTCTATGTAGTTCAGGCTGGCCTCCGATCTCTGCCTCCTGAGTGCTAGGATTAATTACATTTTTTTTTTTTTTGTAGATAGGATCTTACTATGTAGCTCAGGTTGGCATTGAACTCCTCACCCTCTTGCCTCCCCAGCTGAGAAGGTAACAGTTGTGTGTGTGTGTGTGTGTGTGTGTGTGTGTGTGTGTGTGTGTGTGTGTGT